TAAGCAATGAAATGTGAGATGTTTAGGGCATTTGAAAATTAGGGAAAAGTTGAAAGGTCTCTGGCACAGTTGAGCAACAGCAACCATTGAGGCACTAGGTGGAGGCGACTGGCCTCAAATGTGACCAGAGGGACCCTAAATAAGTATGCTGGGTGGGCCCAGAGTGGGATTAGAGGGACATGTGGTTGTCACAGTGCCAGGAGAGCTGTCACATCTCAGGGGAGACGCGTGCTGATGCTGGCAGACACAACAGGCGCTCTGAACTCACTGGGGCAGAAGACGGGTGGCAGCCTTGGGCCAAACTCTTCCGGTTCATCCAGCTGCATCTTCTGTATCGGGAAGGGAGGTGCCGGGGCGGACTTGGAAGGCGCAGGCACAGGCTCAGCAGCTGAAACAGCAGAGGGGGGCGTTCATTCATCTGCCTGTTCTTACTACAGGTCAGTGTTTCGTCAGCAACTTCTGCCACCACACAGTGTGCTTGTCTTCCCTCTGCTGCAGGAGCTCAGGCCAGAACTGAGGATGCGGTGAACTTGGCAGAGCCACTTCTGCCCTGGGGACACAGGAGCCCTGAAGTCGGCTGCCCAAGGACCCCTAGGCTAAGTGCCCCGGGGGGTCCTGCTGAGAGGAGCTGTGCCCAGGGGCACACACTCAGGTATCTGTGGAGCTGAGGGTCGAGCACACCCCCCAGGACAGGTCGGTCACCAGAGAAGAAATGAGCACTTGCAAACAAACGAGGATGTAATGTGTCCCTCCCCAGAAAACTGGTGAGGACTGATGTCACTCGAATAAACTATCGACAAAGGAAAACATGCAAATAAACAAGTAGGTTCACATTAATAAGCATATGATTTTTTTTTTTGGTACAAGGATCAAACCCGAGACCTTGCTCTTGCCAGGCAGGTACTTATGCTGCTGAGCTGCATCTCAGGCAAATAAGCATATTATTTAAAAGATGTCTACTTGAAGAGAGAAAAATGTGCATAAAAATGTTGAAAGTAGTTATTTCTAGGAAAAGAAATTACAAAGGATTTAAGCTTTCTGTATTTGTGTGTGTGAGGAACACGGGGTATTGGCCCTGAGACCTTCACACTGAGCTACAGCCTTAGCCTTTTTAAATTTTCTTTTTTCTTTTTTTGGTACTGGGAATCAAACTCATGACCTTGTGCCTGCCAGGCAGGCACTGTGCTGCTGAGCTGTACATCTGACCTTAATTTTAATTCTGAGACAGGGTCTTGCCAAGACTAAGTCTCCTACGCTGGGCTCAAACCTAGATCCTCTTGCCTCAGCCTCCCAAAGTGCTGGGGATACACACCATCCCTAGGCACTTGTATACTTTTACGACTTTGTAATTTAAAAAAAAAATTTTCCCCTACAGATAAAAGAAATTGATATTTGAGACTACCTAAAGATAAATAATATTTTCTATTTCTGTGTTACTTTTAAAAATTTTTTTATTTTATTTTTTTTTGCAGAGCTGGGGATTGAACTCCGGCCCTTGCACTTGCCAGGCAGGCACTTAATCAACTGAACTATCTCTCTGGCCCTCTGTATTACTTTTTGGTTAAAACCCTCAAATATACCCAGGTCTATCATGACCTGAGGCAGGCAGAACACGATAACCCACAGCGGGGTGGAGAGAGTGGGCCAGGCTGGCGGGCATGCAAGGGCCTCCCAATCTCCCTACCAGGACGCTGAGAGCCAGGCAGGGCGGGCAGGACCCCGGACCCACCGCACACTCGTGCTTCCTACTCCTCTTGCACCACCTCACCAGCTAGGTTGAAAGAGTGGTTTTGTTTTGATGTATTAGCACAGGGTCTACAGGGTCTCACTACATAGATTAGACTTGTAGTGATCCTCCTGTTTTCAGCCTCCCAAGTGCTGGGATTATAGGCGCGCACCAGCAACCCCTGTCTCAATCGCCCTGGGGTGGGGCCGGCGCGGCACACTGGGGATCGAACACCGGCCACTGTGCTCGGCCTAAGCAGGCACCTTAGTCTGATGAGCTATCTGGCTGGTCCTTGAAAGAGTGTCTTTTTAAATGAAAAATATTTTTACATTCCTCTCAACTAGGTTAAGTTGGAAAATTGGTATTATCAAACATGTCCATCCTAAAATTAGAGATTTATACCAGAAGAATTCTGGGGCTGGGGTGTAGCTCAGAGCTGGAGCGCCTGCCTGGCATGTGTGAGGCCCTTAGTTCTATACCCAGCACTTCAAAAAAAAATTTTTTTTTTTTTTTTTTAAAGAACTCTGTCCTACCTAATTAAAAATGTTAAATGCCACTGATGGCTAATTCTCCTGGCTTCAGATTATAGACTGAGAACCAGCATTTTTGCCTCTAGATCTCCAAGTCTAAGTTTTCCCCTGTAGATCCCCAAGTCTGAGGTACTAAGATACTGACATACCGTGGGCCACAGATGCGGCTTCCCCCAGGGCATCAGAGTCCTGGGAGCCCTGGAAGGTGGCCTCCTCTGGACGTGCCTGCTCGTCCTCACTGTCATCTTGCTCTTCCTCCTCCTCTGAAGAGGACTCCGAGGAGCTGGCGAAGATGGCCTTGAATAAGTCCATGGATGGGCGGCCTCCTTCCCCCTCACTCTGCGGGTCCACACCTCTGTCTGCTGCCTGCGTGAGCAGTGGAACGAGACTGAGGAATGCGTGAGCCAGAGCGCTGGGCACTCAGCACTCTAGAACACACTTGTCCCCACGCACGCCCAGGCACACGCACACACCATTTATGTCTGTGCTGGTGTACAAATACCTTTTCCGAGAGGGAGTCTGCTGCACGGGCATCCTCTTTAGTCACAACGGGACTGGACTCTTGCTTAGGAGGACCCACTTTTGATCTAGCCAAACTTAAAAATTCACTAATGGAATCTTCCTTCTTTTCATGCTGAGATGTATCCCATCTGGATGGTTTCCTTGACTCTGAAAGGTACGACATGGACCCGAGATTGGAATTGCTGGGTTAAAAAGCAAGTTTTTCACTAGGGATCTGTCATCCGCCTGGAGGGCTGGCGCAGCCCTGCCGCCTTGGCCCTGTGCAAGGTGCTGGTGCTGTGGCGGGCAGAGGTAGTGCCCTGAGCGCCCATGTCAGAACCAGAGCAATATGAACTGACGGAGGTCGCCAGTGGAGGGAGGGCCTGCGCCACGTGTACCTGGGGCCCAGACCTGCCCTTTACTCCTGTTCCCCCACAGGTGAGAGGTTCAGGTACCACTCAGCAGAGACCCCAGAAGCCGTGTTCCCTGTCCGAACCTCGGGGCTGCGGGGCTTTATCCCTGGATGCCGGTGCTGTGGGTGAGGAGGTGGGCTCCGGAAGAGTCAGAAAGTTGAACACTGAGTATTTGTCGCGCTTCACTCTTGGTAAGCCAACCAAAGTTGAACTAGCGGTTGAAAACAGAAAAGATATAAGTGTAGTGCCGAATGCTACGATAAACTCCACTTCCTGTGAAGTGTTTGGTCCCCCATCCCTGCCCCATCTCTTACTTAACAGGCACACCTTAGATGTCTGCACTTCCCAGTGCAACTCATGAATTCACAAGGCTGACTTTAGTATCCACAGGTGTTTTTCCTATTAAACTAAGAGCTTAATGAATTAATTATTATGGACTACTGGACTATATTGGATTATTCTGCTGAATTCATACACCTACAATATTTGAAGAGCAATACCCATCTCTAACAAAACTAAACAAAAAAGAGACATATAAATGAAGGACCACTTTGTAGTGAAAAAAGTATATATATATATATATATCTGTATATACAAAATAGGCTAGATATACAGCTACTTTCTCTTAGTTCAATGAGAAGATTTATACTAATAGT